GATTTTGTTCTTTTGTTTCAAAAGTAATTATGCTTTTGTTTTGTGGAAGAAAAGGCTTTATTCTTTGTTGAAAATCAGGAAATAATTTTAGCCTTATACCCAAGCTTAGAAAAGGCAAATAGGAATTGACAATTTTGGGACTTTGAAGTGCAGAGATGTACAATAATCGATTAGCACCTTTAGATAATCGATTAACACGATTTGGTTCCAAACCAGGAATGATCAGAGATGCTCAATAGTCGATTAACACTGAAGAACAATCGATTAATAAGGCTTGCACAAAACTGGGTATTTTCAGAGGTCACAGATAATCGATTATTGGTTTGGAGATAATCGATTGTTGGAGGTTGCTAGTTTGTGACGAGGAATCAGAGGGATAGAATAGTCGATTATCAGTTGTGTATAATCGATTATTCAGGCTTTCAGGATCAAGATTAGGAAAGAGAGAGGATAATATTTTGTGGTTTTGTTTGAAAAGTCAAAAACATGAAACAAAGGTTTTTATTTTGATGGAAAAGATTTTATTTTTGATAAAAGAAAGGAGATAAAACTTTTTTTGGATATTTGGGAGAGGGTGGTTTTGCTTGAGTCATCCGAGGGTACATCAATGCATCATGTAGTTCATGACAAAACCCTTATACAGCTCAGGGAGCGACTGCAGGATCAGGTCCGCTGCCAGCTCCTTCTGCAAGGAGAACCCGAGTTTCTCCAGATTGGTTATGTAACCAATCATTTTGAGAACGTGCGGACCGACCGGGTTCCATGAAGAGAGCTTGCAACTAAAGAGAGCCTTACTCACGAGAAAACGTTCATGCCTGGATTTCCCCTGGTATAGCTGCCGCAAGGCCACGATCATCTCGTGGGCCTTCATGTCCTCGTGCTGTTTTTACAGCTCGGTTATCATGGTTGCCAGCATGACATAGCTAACCTGGTTATCATCCTTAACGTGTTTCTTGTAGGCTTCTTTGACCGCTTTCGGGGCATTAGCGGGAGGGGCAGGAGGAATGGGCTTTTCGAGCACATACTCTTTTTCATCCATGCGGAGAACAATGGAGAGATTGCGTTGCCAGTCAACAAAGTTTGTTCCGTTCAATTTATCTTTATCCAGAATGGAACGCAGGGCGAGGTTGTTTGTGTTGTTGTTTGCCATCTACAGAATTTTGCGAAGATAGTTATTATCATGAACTAAATATCTAATAGGTCTTTATTAAATACTCTCCCACTATTTCTAACAAGTCAACTACCCTCAGGTACGGAACCTATTGACTTGGGGATTCTATTTGAAGAATACCCTAGCGGGCCAAGATCCATATTTTATTTAACTATAGTTGTGCTTTGCATCTTGCCCTACAGTTAAATTATTTAGGTAGGAATTCATTCCAATTGCAATCGTTATTACAACTCTTGGTTCGGTGGATTCTTTTAAATAAAATTCTTAATTGGGCCAGATCCATATTTCATTTAACTATAGTT